TAAAATAAAAAATCCTTAGAAGTACCAAATATATAAAATATTATTAAACTAAGAACAAGATTCAAGATTCAAAGAGGCCAAGAAAATACAAAGAGTCATCATCAAACGATGGAGTTTGCAACAATAATAAACAGGAATTGAAAAATTGAATCGTGGCCTCTCTATTTATATATAAATTTATAGATAAGTAAATTAGCTAAATATTATTGTCCTACAAACTAAACAATCTAAATTTAGCAAATATGACAAGAGGTGTTAGGAGACCTCGGGGATTACGAGATCGAGTTGAAAAAGAAAGTTAATATTGTATAAGTTATATTTCATATTACATATATGTAAAGAATTTGGTAAACAAGTTATATTCTTGTATAAATAAATCTATTGGTTAATCAATAAAACCGAGAAAAAATATATTATTGTATAAATAAATCTATTGGCTAATCAATAAAACTGAAAAAAAAAATATTATATTTCTAAGATTTCCTCCAATATCTATCATGGTATCACAGATTTGATCCAACTCCTATGGGTTAGAGTTTTCGTTTGCTTCGGCTACTTTAAAAAAAAAAAAAAACTCGTTGTTTCTTCTCTTTGACTTCTTTCTACGTACTTTTTTTTCTTTAATCCTTCTTCTCAATTTTCTTTAATCAATTTCTTTCTTTGACTTTTTGTTCGTTTAATTATGTTGTTTTGAAAAAAAAAACAGAAAGAAGAATGTTCGTCTCATACCACGAAGAAGACGGCATCCATGATTGATGATATTGTTGTGGATTGTGAGCATGGACCATGAATGGGTTCATTCAAATTCACTTATTAAATCTTCATACGGTTATCGACAACTACAAATTCGATGAAGACATGATGATGTTGCCACGAAGATGATGACTCCAACACGGAGGTGAAGACATGATTGATGTTGCTGTAAATTATGAGCATGAACCACTTGATGAGTTCGTTCAGTTTGCATGGTGACATGATACAATGGAGATACACGACTACTATAATATTCTATGATCGATGACCTTATGGCGAAATATAATCGCCAATCCTACAGTGGGTATTAAGACTTTGAAGATGACCTCATGATTGTCAAATCTCATACGTGTTACTACGTATGAGCTTGCGTGAGGGTGTTAGGAGACCTCGAGGATTACGAGATCGAGTTGAAAAAGAAAGTTAATATTTGTGTATAACTTATATTTCCTATTACATATAGGTAAAGAACTTGGTAGACAAGTTATATTTTTTTATAAATAAGTCTATTGGCTAATCAATAAAACAAAGAGAAACTATTATACTTCTAAGGTTTTGGCTTTTATAAATTTATGGAAAACAAATACTTAGTTGTACAAAATAAATTGGATCACCCCTGAAGTGATAAAATAAAATTGAGAATGTCAACAAAACTACTTATAGAGAAATCTATCAAATAATTATCTA